TAGAATATCTATGAACAGAATGAAGAATCACATTAGCTTCTCATCAAGGAGTCCTTCTTCTTTGGGAATTTTATCACCAACCTCTAAAATGGGCACGGAGAGTCTTAGGGTAACTAGCCCCGAGGATGGTAAACATGGAGGTAGCAATGGTGACGCTCGATATTACGGCCCTGGATTCCCTTATGCTTCTTGGAATGAGACGGCAAACCCCAAAAGACAGCGAAATAGTAATGATGAATTACTTTCTGAAGCTCAGGTTTGTTTGGGATTTTCAATTTTCTTGTTGTATTGATCCGAACTTTTTTCTGGTTCTCAATACAAATATGTTCTCATACACTCAGAACGGAGACCTGGGAAATCAAGTTCATTCTCTTTCGTATCATTTGAGTTTGCCGAGAGCATCCTCGGAGATGTTTGCTATGGACAACTTGCTTCAGTTTAACGATTCTGTTCCTTGTAAAATCAGAGCAAAGAGAGGCTTTGCTACTCATCCTCGAAGCATTGCCGAAAGGGTAAGAGAGTATCATGTTATCTGCCTGTGCCAAAACTTGTTTTCACAAACATTTGGTATGGTGAAGTTCTATCAATTAAAATGAAGTTGTGTTCCTTTGCCAAAACTATAATAAGAAATGATGATTATGTGAAAAGATTATTCTAACAAGTACTTGTTCTCAGGTGCGAAGAACTAGGATCAGTGAACGAATAAGAAAATTGCAAGAGCTTGTTCCAAACATGGAGAAGGTCAGTAATAAAACAGAAGTTGATTTGCCCTTGCATTGTTTTGTGTTTGGAATGTTAACATTCTTGAGTTATTGGCAGCAAACCAGCACAGCAGAGATGTTGGATTTGGCTGTAGACTACATAAAAAATCTTCAGAATCAATTCAAGGTACTCAAAGGGAGAAGTTATTTGTTAGAACCCCATAGTCATATAGCCATGCAACTGATGACTCTTTTCATGCATGCACTGACATTTTGAATACCTTTCTGCAGAATCTGAGCGAAAGACGAGCTAAATGCAAATGTATAAACATGCAGAAACCAGAAACAGATAAAATTGCTTGAGTTTCTTTTGTACATGTGATGAAAGGAACTATGCAAACATGGACCCGGGTACTATATTTTGACGTGATGAATCACACGAACGATAAATCAAATAGTTTAATTTTGTAATTTTTTATACAAAAATTGTAATGAATTATTTTAATGTTATTCTTTTTTTCCCCTACATAGAGTTGCTTAATATTGAATTCATGCATTATAAATGAATATATTTTTTTTCAGTAGAAAATAGCAAAGTGATGCAGCTGTGACCTCACTCCACCTTTGGATCCTTGTAGAGATTCAAGATATGTTTAGAAAATCTGATGCAAAAAGGTTGACACTTACACTCAATAGCAAAACAGGTTGAAATTAACAGCTGAAAGATAAAGACAAAAATAAAGTAAGTTAAAAGGATATCATTTTCTGAGAAGAAAATCATTTAAATTTGGATGTTTAGGGGTCTATTCCATGAATGATAGGAGCAAATATTATTATTATTTGCATCAGGCCAAACTAGTTTGTATTGTAACAAGTCTTGTCGATTAGAGAGGACATAATATCCAAAATGAAAATCTTGAATACTTAGTGCAATTTGCTTCAATGGATGAGCTAAACTTGTTTGGACTGACAGGAATGTTAGTTTGTACAATATGTTTATGACAAATTTGATCCAGAAAGCCTGAAACCTGTTATAGAGGAGTATGTCTTCACGAGCAACATAACTTTGGATGAATCACCAACTTCTTTCCTATACTTTCACACACACACAAAAAATAAAATCTAAGAGTGATTTATTACTTCTTTTGAATATAAATTAGCTTATTTTGATTTGTTTATATGAAGAGGAGGAATAAATGTCTTATTTTAATTACTTTATTTTTTTTAGCTTTCTACATAATATGCTTTCTCTATTGTCAAAAAAATTATCTCCTTAAGTATTCATAAAAATATTTTCTTCTCATTTAACTAAAATTATCCCAATATTGGTGGCTTAAGACACTTACAAAATGCTTCTAATTCCTTAGAGATAGGTTTACGTAATCTAATTTTATATCACTAATTAAACTCAACACTAATAATCTACTATGTTCGAAAAAAATTCCAAATTCTTATTAAATCAATACTTTTATCATTAAAAAACAACAAAGATAAATGCAAGAGAAAATCCAAACAAATTTAAACTATAAAGAACCATTTATTCAAAATTAAATAAAAATTAATACAATTGAAGTTTAAAAAGTATAAGATTTTTTTTATCAGAAAAATAAAGTATAGGAAATGTAACACATTATATCTAAAGTAATCTTAAAAATTATGTATTAAGGACAATTATAAGAATGCTTTGACTTCTTGTTGACCTCATCATGTTATTTTCATTAACTGTTATTTTAATTCAAAAAACTATATATCATATATTATTTGCATGTATACTGAACTAGTTTAAGGTGTTCGGTATTCAAGACAGTGAAGATTGGTAATAAATGATTGGGCTACATAAAAACACCCTTCAATGTTATATTTTAGAAAGGATTTGACAAAATGATAATATATACACGTATTTTGGTTATTCCTTTCATTCATATGATCATTTTTTTTTAAATTTGAAATCAAATAATTTAGATTATTAATTTGGTTTCTCAGTTATTAAATGGTTGAATTTGGATTCTGACAATTTAAAATTGATGTAATGGAAATTATTTCATCCAATTGCAATAAAACGACGTTGACTTATTGTTTTTTCGACAATATGAAAAATTACATCTAGTCATCATATAGGACCCATTCACTGGAAAATTTAAACATTATTGATTGAAAAGGCAACATTGCATTAGTTTTAAAAGATCAAAAAATTTAATTGTTGAAAGACCAAAATGATATAATTAAATAAATTGACAGATCAAATTAATAATTTAGTCAATTTAAACCTTTGAAAGAATACAAATGTTTTTTCTTTTATCATTTAATAGTAGCCAGTAAATAGTCAATAACATGCTTAAATGAGTTTAAATTTTCCATAAAAAAATTCTTTCATAAGCCTAAATTGCAAATAAACTAACTTCGTAGCAACTGCAACTATTATGTAAATATCACATGTTAGTTGATAAAAAAATAGCTCATCACACATGAACTGATTCCATTCCGTTTTGGCGGCTATTTATTTTATGCTTGCTTTCGATTTATATTTTAATATAGATTTTGGATGCATACGTAAATTACGTATCATGTACTTGGAATTATTATTTTAACGAAATGAATTGTCATTTTTAATTTAGGGTTAGGTTCAGATAAAAAGACTTGACTTTAATTTTTATCATATTACTGATAAAAAAAATTATCTGCAACTTAATCTCTAGATGTTATTCACTTACTATTTTTCCAAAAACAAAATATAGAACTATCTTTTTATTTAATTGAATAACTCATATCATGTATCGTGGCGGTTACATATATCATAAACATCACACATTAATTGAAACATTTAAAAAATATTGAATAATCAATTTTTTAAATAAATCTTGAATGACAATAGTTAGAATACGCAGTTGGCAAGTTCCATGAGTTTTCCAGTGACTTTGTACTATAAGAAATTGGATTCTATTAATTTTACCAAAAAATAATGCGATAATATGAAATATTATATGGAAAGTTTATTAGCCTGATGTATAATGTTAATATGATGATATTTATAAGTTAAATTTACATTCTTGAGAGGGATTTGTTTCTATGTACATAAATAATGAAATTGAATAATCATTCACCTAATTACTATTGCTAAAGGACTTTATCATTAGAAATCCCAAATATAACGTCTAATTAAATATTAACTAATTAATACAATTATTTAAAGATGTTTATAATATGTTTGGGATTTTAGTTTTTTTGTAATAGATATTATCTTACTAAGACCAAATTTGCTATGACAAGATCCAGCTAATCACCCCCAATATGCATCCAAGAAAATAGGAAATAAACATAACAGTATTCTGAATACAAAAACTTTAATTACTTGAATTGTTTTAAAGGTAAAAATATAGTTTGTAATCATCATGAGTGAATTAAACATTAAGAATTGTAAATTAACATAATAGGGAATTTAATAAAGAACTAAAGGGTGGCTTATTAAAAATATAATCATTCCTCTCGAAGTTACAAATCAAGCAAGTGAAATTTAATTGTGTGCTTTTATTGAATCCTGCCAGTAACATTGGTATATTTGAAAATTTTTCAATTTTGTTGGGGAGCTCCTTCGTTTAGTTATTACTATATGCACATCAATGAGATTCTTGCTTCGAAAAAGTTTATTGGATTTTTTTTTTTCATAATCAATATAATTCACCACTTCAAACATGAGTAATATATTTCATTAATCATCTCTTTAATAGGTTTGTTAAGGAATATATTTTATTATTATAGAATGAAAAAAAATCCCTAAATATAAACGTCTAATTAAATATTAATTAATTAATATAATAATTTAAAATTTGTTGTAAAACAGTTATGATTATATTCTTTGTTGCAGACATTATATTTTTCTTTTTAAAATATGATATTGGTAGAGTTATTCATCGAAAATAAATATTATTTTAAATATACTTATGATCATAGTACACATTTTCAAAAAATGATAGTACACTACCTTATTTTTATTGATATTAAGATAATATTAGTTGTTAGCAAATAGTTTTATTAATTACCCGTAAAAAAACGATTCGATTAGTTTAAAAATACAATATAGTTTAAATGAACTATGCTTGTATTTATTTTTTTCATTATAATTTAAAAATACAATAGTGTTTGTATTTATTTTTTTTAATCTTAAGAATTGAAAGGCCGAAAACGCTTAAGGCCCAATAAAAAAAGCCCAAGATTTGAAATAACGAATATTCGAAGTGAAATTAAATCTACGTTGGTCCCGCGCATAGCGGGATTTGAAATTCAAAATGAGCCGTTTCATTTTTTCGGGAGAGAGGAGATAGATAGAATCCAGGAATTGAATTTGATTGAGATTCAGAGTTTTGGGGAGATATAAGTGCGCCTTTTTTCAATTTCAAAATTTGCCAATTCGGTCTTCTCCCAAACCCTTGCTCTTCTCTTCTTATTTCCTCTCGCCAAACCCTACCTCCTCCTCCCAACACCACCACGGCACCACCCTCTCCCTCCGTCCCCCTTCAGCCATGCCCCAATCACGTGACCGTCGCTTAACCTCCGTCGACCTCGCTGCCGCCTTCGCTCGCAACCGCGCATTCCTCATCTACAACGACCCGCCGCCGCACCGAACTCCTCCAAGAACTCTGCCCCGGGGACGCGCCCGTGCTTTTCTCGGCTCCGAGAACACTCCTCCCTCCGCGCGACGCACAAGGGGGCGCGTTTCTTCACGTTCTCTGCTACCAGCTTGGTACCCCCGAACACCACTGCGTGACATCACTGCCGTCGCTAGGGTAAGTGTACATCAAAGCGCCGTCGTTTTCGGTTCTTTGTTAGAATCTTTTTGCTAAAAGTTTTCTTTATGCGTTGTGGTTTAGGCTATAGAGAGAAGGAGAGCCAGGTTAGGGGAAGTCGAAGGCCAGCGAACTGAAAGCACTGTTTCTACGGCTGACCAAGTAGTTCTAGAACAATCGGAGACTGCTTCTGCCTCCGCTGCCTCTACCTCGAAATCTCCGAAGTCTGTCGGAGTTAAGCTTCGTACACCTCTGGGCTGCAAAGTGCCCAAGATCTACCTCGACATTTCTGAATTACCCGAAGGGGAATCGGAAACCCTTACACCGCAGAAGAAGCTTTTGAACAACATTGACCAAGTTCAGGAGGCTGTGCTTGAAGAATTGAAGAAGCTGAAACGAACTCCCAGTGCGAAGAAAGCGGAGAGGGAAAAAAGGGTGCGCACTTTGATGTCCATGAGGTGAATTTTCAATTTTATGCAGTTTTGATTCCGATTGTGACAGGATTTGGATTATACAGAGGCTGAACAAGGGTATTAGAGTCATTTTACTACATTCGGTTGGTTCGTGCAACAGTGTTTTCTGCTTGCTCAGATTGGATCTTCTTCTCGAAGGTGCAAGAAGGATATTCTTTATAGTTTTGATCTAACTTCTTGGTTAGAAATTAGAACTTGCTTTTAGCAGTGTTGATATATAGCATGCCCCCTTGTTCTTTCCATCATTCTTTGATGGTATTGGGTCGGTGTTGTAGGTTTAGCTGTAAGTCTCAGTCTCTGTACATATTTCCCATATCCTCTGATTTGGAGGTTTCGCCATTGTACCATTGGTTAAACTGTTCAGGAAGTCTATTGATTCTTTTTTGGCTTCAATTTCTTCCCTTTGCCATCAATTTTCTTCCATCAAGTTACCCATTTTGGTCGATTCAGAAACTGAAATCTCTTTCGCCCATTTTCGCAAATGGCTTTGTTAAATTTAAAATATTTACGAATATAACGTCTAACTGATCCGTTAATTCGAACTGTATAACGGATGAAATTATTGAAATTGAAGGGAAAATAACAAAAATGTTTTGTTTGTAACTGTATTCTAGTAGTTTTTTTAATGTATTTGGACTTTAGAATTAAGATAGTGTAAAATATAATTTGAGTTGGAATTTGTTTGAGATTGAATTCAAAATGAAATTGAAGAAACTTAATATGTTGAATTGAAGATAAAAAGTTAATTTTATGGAATCGAAAGCAATGGAAGGTTTACATGGCGGTGAAGCAACGGCGAGAACCGCATTTGGTTCTCGTTTTAAGGACTCAGAAATTTTATCCTTTTCTGAACTCTCTTTAGTATAACTGTTTTCAAAACCGTGTTGATAATAGAACACGTGAAGGTAATTAATTAATGATTGGGCAGTTTCTTCTGTCTTTTTTTCTTTTTACAAAAATGTATCATAATTTTTGTTGAGAAAGTTAATGTTTTAAATACTTGTCATTGATTTAAGATTAAAATGATGTTTCTTAATCCAAATGATTGTAGAGACGAATAATAATCTGAGAAAAAAATTAATTTATCATATAATAGCTTTAAATTGTTTACATACATAATTATATTTTATATATTTTATTATTAAATGGTATTTAACAACATATTATATTATATATTTAAAAATACAATTATACTTAAATATAATATGTTAGGTGATATCTTATTGCTTGATCCACAAATTCCAAAATTTCATTCATCGTTACCTCAACTCAACCCTTAAATGATATCTTATTGCTTGATCCTTATTTGCTCCACAAGAAAGATAATTAATTTGACATCTGTCTCGCTCAAACCTGAAGCCTTAATTTGAGTAGTATGCCTTGTTATTTGAACATCCATTTAGTACTTAGCCACATTAAGCAATACATATAATAATGACTTGTTAGGTGGTAAAAATTTACTACTTAAACAATATAAAAAAAATTATAATATAAATTTAAACTCATGTATCGCTTTCCAAACCATAATTTCATCCCTATGATTATCTCAACTTCTTACTTAAAAAAAAAAAACCATGTTTTCAACTCTCAACAAAAATCACATATTAACTTATATTCTGTTCTTAATCAACTTAAAAATTAAAAATATCTAAATAATGTGCTATTAAATAATATGTAGTTAAGTTCCCTTACTTACTGGGAGGTGAATCATCAACCATCAAATCTTACTCTATACTTAAAAAAAAGTCCAATTAGGTTTCCTACCTTAAATCCCTTTATTACCAACATCTCTCGTTTATCATATGGAAAAGAAAATACTTAAACCTTAATACATAACAAAACACTTAACTTTCTCAAGAAAGTAATAATTATCTGAATTTATCAAGTAAAATGATATAATACATTTGAAAAAGATAAAATTTAACTTCAAAATTGTATAAAAAGAATTAGAAATAATGTAGTTTTATAGTATAAAATTAATAATAATAAAAAGTGAATGTTTAAATTCTATATACTTATAATTTTTTTATTTTTATCTCCCTAAAATTGATCTTTAACAAAAAAAATGGAGGTTGAAAAAAAATTATATATCAAATCTTTAATAATTTTAATAAATAAATTAAAAATTTAGAATTTTATATAGACTAAATTAAATTTGGACATTTCAATTGAATATATAATGTAGTGAGCACTGAATTGCTATATCTGCAATTAATCCATCTTAATCCGTAATTGTAACTTACCTTTTTCAAGTAACTTTTTTTTAATGAATGATTGACATATGTGGTTTGTAAAAAGTATAAGTGTATATAAGTATCAATAACTTTAATTACTTTTGTGGTTCATTTTCAAGTCTTGTTCTTATAAATAGTTTATTTACGAATTTTTGGTACCAAAGCTAAGTACGAAAAATGAAGCAAAATTTTTCAAAGAGTTACAAAATGATTTTTTATATATATTTAATTATAACACGCTTCACTCGATTGAAAAATCTTGTTCATAATAAGTATTAGTAGAATAACATATTTTTATATTTATTTAACATCCAGTACAAAAATAAAATGGTTATAAATAAATAATTTTTGATATTTAAAAAAAAAAAGTAATATTTGTGTATTTCAAAGTATATTATTCTTCCATGATATAAAAGTGGATTTTTCATATCGATCCTTCAGAACTCAACCCAATTAAAAATGTTTTTCCATAAACAAAAACAGTATGTATTATTCAAATAGTACCAATAGGAATGAATATTTGCAATAGTGGAAGAGGAAAAGCACTTATGTGACAGACTGAAATGTTTTCTTTAAGAATTCATGTGAGTTGCTTAATTGTTCAATGGTGTCATTTCACATGTAATGGATCTTGGTCAGACAATTTGTTAATTAAAAAAATTATCTTTAATAGAAAGGATCCATCATGAATATTTAAATTATGGAGGGTCAAATAAATAAATAAACATAATCAAAGCAGAATAAACAGAATCATGGTTATCTCTTTCTCCCTCTTCCACATCTAAGTCACGGCGTGAAACTTCATCATGTTAACATGTATACTGCTCTTTAAAACACCGTATCATTGGTTGATGCAGATAACATAAAAGAACTAATTTTTCCAAGGTTAAATTAACCAAGATAATTTCAATAATATTAAATCAAAATTCAAGAATTGTATAACATTAAGATAAAAACCAGAATCAAGAGAAACCATTTTTTACTGCGTATTTTAATTAAATAATATCTTTGATGTTTTCTATAGATAGCATGATTATACGAAATATTTTAACTTTTAAGATATTAAAAACAGTAACATATTTATTTATTTTGTTAAATAAACGTTAAGTTTAAGGGTTAAGAGAATAAAATTCAAAAGGATAATTTTTGCATTTGTTCTACAATACTTATTTTACATAAAACACCATGTATTTTTATTATTTTATAGGTACTGAAGAATTTCCAAATATATCTAATATAGAATTAATTGTTTATTTCACGTTAATTTTCCTACGTTCTACAATAAATTAGGTTTCTTTTTTTAAAAAAAATAATTAAATTTAGTTCTTTGACAAAAAAATAACTACAAGAAGTGATTATTTGAAATAACTTAATGTATTCTATGTATGTAACAAATAAACAAATAATTTACTACATCCTATTTCTCTTAGTATTTTTTTTTATTATGAAATTGACAACAAAAATTAAATTGCTTTTTAAAATTTAATTTAATTTTAATTTTTCATAAGTTTAGATATTTTTAATTAAATTTTATTAGTTTCGTTTTATTTCATTGAATACTCTACACTTTTATATTTTTCATTTAAGTATTTATTGTTTAAATATTTTATTAGTTAAGCGACGTGATATTATTTCATTCTATCATTCTGTTTATTTATCTGATAAGAAATATTATATTTTATTATTAACATAAAATATCATTAATGCAATATAAATATATTACATCAATTTTAGAGTTCATACTAAATTCTTTTTAGAATATATACCGATATAATATGTTAAATACATATTAAATCGATTTTTCCAACTGATTTAATATACATTTTAGTATTTACAAAATTGTTACTATGCTTTTAATTACATAAGTTTTGTTACAGCTCATTTAATATCCTATTTAATATGTTTGTTTTTCAATGGTATATATTGTTAATAGTATATAATGAAATGTGTAGATAATGATATCATCAATAACTTTCAAGTTATCACCAATAAATGGTCGTCAAATATCTGACCTCGACTATATTTTATTGTCTATAACATTTTCAATTAATTATAATATTATTTTATGTCAACTATGAAATCTTATACTTATAATATATGCAAACGAGCAAAGATAATATCCTACATAATAACAATGATGTCATCCCACTGAAAAAAACTTAAACAACAAATACTATTGAAGAAAAAATAAAAAACTTAAATACTTAATAAATAAAAGAATTTAATAAAAACACAATTACAATATCTAAATTTATATTTTACTTCAAACTCGATTAAGTTTTATTTTTTCTTTTTCAAAATAACCTAATCAAAAAATTTCGAAATAATAGTGTGATGTTAAAAAATAGAAAACCTTTAACATATTATCGAAATTATTTTATATATTGTTTTAGACATGCATAGTGATAGAAAAAGAAAAATGTCACAATTATTATTTTAAATAACATTTAATATTTATATATTAAAATTCGAAACTTTGCAAACATAAGGCAAATTCAGTAAATATTATGTTTTTTTATCTTAGATAAATTACACAATAATCAGTCAAAATTTTATTCACAATATCATATTTGACATATTAAAAATAAATTAGATATGTGACAAAATAGTTTAAACATCCGTACATTTTTAATAAATTAGATCAATTAACAAAAGAAAAATATATAAAAAAACCTTTACATTTATTCAAAACATAAATATAAGTTAAGTTTTATATACACTTCTAAGCTAAAAACTATCTACTTATTTACAACATATTTCTTACATTACAACTACAAAAAAAACTGACTACACTATAACACACTATACATTTGTGTCTTCACCGCCTAGGGTCTATACAATAAAAACAAACACAAAAAAGATAAGCTAATATAAAAAGAATACAATGTAAAATTTGCAAACTAACATATAACATTTTCACTTTTAAACTAGGCATAACACCTAAACATATAACATTTAGACTCAAACATATTCGGATACATGCATATTGTTGAGTTACGGCGAGTTGTGCATTTATAGTGATGGAACAAGTGACCCTAGGCACTTGTTCAACCAAACATCATTCTCACAACCTAACAAAATATTCATGTTTCTTAATAAAAATTAAAGCAAATATTAGCTTATTACCTGGTGGAAAGCCTTAACAACTCTATTAGCCCA